CTGTTACTCTTTTATAAATTATTGCTTATAATTTGAGATTTATCAAAGAAATCCTGAAAAATTTCCTGACTACATAGTATATAAAAGGGTCTAATTTCTTGTCAGGTGCACATAGTAATAAATGAATTTCTTATGGTATAATTCTCTTTAAATGTGTCAGCTAACACTACAAATTACTTTCTTTGCTCTGGAACTGGTATGTGACACTTGAGCTAACCTAAGTATGTGTGGTGAGACTAAATGTTAATACCTTTTACATAATATGTCCATATTGGGTGCACTTTATGGGTTGTTGAACATATTTTCAGTGTGTCTTCCATAGTTTTGTTGTTTAGACATTTTCCTGGTGTTATTGGTGCATATTTTGCATAACACCAGGAGAAATGTACAAGCACATTATTTGCTTAAATGTGAACAGTGAGATATAAAGATTTCCTGCTGCCTTCAACATTAAAGAAATCAGTATTTTCTTTCAGTAATCAAAGGAAGTCTCAGCTGGAGAACTACAATCAGTTTGTTCCTTGAGCCAAACCCGGCACCTTTATGTCCAGGAAGCTCCAAATTGCCAAAAAAAAAAGCATTTCCAGTGTCTAAGAGAAACAAGGAGACTGTGCAGGAACCTTTGTAACATCCTGTAGGATAAGTGGGTTTCACTGTGGCATGTGGAGGAGGATGGTGTCATAGATGGATGTGGAAAAGTGGTATTTATTTGTTAGATGTATATTCCAGGTAGTTTACAATAAAAGATAACAAAAAATCATAGAAACAAAATAAAATATTGCAATAAGGTATAAACACCCCCCCACACACACACACACACCCCTAAATTTCAAAAGCAACCCACATCCCTTTCCACTCCCCTGCCTCTAACTAAGGAGCAGAAATGAAGTATGAATCACTGAAATTCACTTCCACATAAATTGGATACAGCAGGTCCCACCTTTTATTTTAGATCATGGCTTGTACTATTACTGTGGAAATTAATATTCATCATACTATGCATGAAGATGAATCCTCCACATCAACACCTATGTTGCTATCCCAAACCAAACCATATGACTTGGCACCAAAGACCACCGATTCTGTCATGATTCATTTGATTGATTTCCTGATGCAAGGAAGGAAAAGCTGAGCCCGGGGGTGGGCAAAATGTGGCCTACAGGCCAGATGTGGCCTGCCAGGCCACTCTATCTGGCCGGGGCCCCTAAAAAATTTAGAAAAGTAATAACTATCTGCCCTTGGCTGCCTGTCATGTGGTCCTCGTTGGCTTGCCAAAACTCAGTAAACGGCCCTCTGCCCGAAATAATTGCCCACCCCTGGCTTAGCCCATACAGCAGTGGCTGCCCTATCCTTGCCCACTCCAGGCTAGATTACACAGCTCTAACTTGTAATGCTGCTTGAAGTCTACTAGGAAGGTCTGTGGGGCAGAGCTGTACTACTACCTAGCGCATCTACAGGTGATGAATAGTGGAATGACCTTCAGGGAAAGTTAGCTTTGAAATAAGCAGGGTTAACTCTGACAAATAAGCAGTCACAGACCAAGCAGTGGCAGCATCACCAGGATGTGGTGAGAACAGCAGATGGCAATGATTTCCCTCCTCAAAAGCCACATAAATCCTTTGATGTTGCTGTGACATAGTGAGTACAGGTCGCCACTATAATAAGCCTGCCCTCAGCCATGGGACTACAAGTCCTCAGTGACAGAACGGAAGGGAGAAATTATTAGAATCTCAGTGACTGTGAAGGCGGATGAAGGCTGCAGTAGAATGAGATCTCCAGTTGTCTTTGTTTCCTTGCCATTGGATCAAGGTCCTGTTCTGTCAAGAGCTGTGTGAAAGCTGATGTGCAGTAATTTCTCCATGATAAAAGAAGTCACACATAGGTGTCTTCCATGAAAACAGCTTTCCTAGGCCATTCCTCAAGCCCTTTGGCTACCAGCTAATGTTGACAGGAGCAGGATTGTGAAGTCTGGAAGCTCCTGGTCATGAACTGGCATGAAGGTGGCAGTTACAAGAAGGTCATCTAGCACTTGGATGAGACAGGAGTGCTATTCAGTAGCTGTAACTGTGACTGAGCAGCCCTCTTCAGGATCTGCTCTGCTGACCCCACATGGGGAAGGGGCCAGAAAAGGTGCTTTAAACAAAACCTGTCGAATACAGTATTCTGTATTTCTTCCTGATTGTATAATTGCATCCAGTGGGATCACCTTTACTGTGGTCAAAGATGCCAACAAAGATACACCATCATTTTCAGGATCTGGAACATAAGGACCTTCATGCACAATGCTAATATTGAATGCCCGGAGTGCCACACTGCAATTGTGGCCTGAAAACTCAGGCAACACAACATCAATATAGCTGCACTGAGCAAGACCCGGCAAGCAGCAGATGAGGCAGCTCAAAAAACATGCAGGCAGCTATACCTTCTTTTGGAAGGGTAAAGAGGAAGGAGAATGCCAACTTCACAGAGTTTGTTTTACCATTAAGGATGAACTCAAACTCAATGAGTTCCATATTGGAAACTGGCGGGGAGTCGATATTCTATGTCATGAGCGCATATGCCCTGACTCTTGATGCTGCCAATGAAAACCAAGAAGGAATTCTACGCCAGCTTGACCAAGTACTTGTTGACATTCCAGAGGGAGACAGACTTATTCTTCTTGGTGATTTCAATGCCAGAGTTGGAAGGGACTATAACCTCTGGAACAGAATCATCGGCAAGGAAGGAGTAGGAAAGGTCAACTCCAGTGGCATCCTTCCCTTGACTGAATGCACAGAATATGAACTTACCATCACTAATACTCTGTTCTGTCAGAAAAAACAGGCACAAGATGTCATGGCAACACCCATGATCTAATCACCCATGATGTTCATGGGCAATGTACAGGAGACTTTTAAAGTTATTGGAGAAGTACTATCAATGTTGCCTGCAGAAGATCTTCCAAATCCAGTGGGAAGGCAGATGCACCAACGTTACCTTCCTCCTGCCAGCAAACTCCATGAGTATTGAGTTGATGATCATTTGACATTAATTTCGTTGAGCCAGCCATGTCATCTTGATAGCAGACTCCAGGCTGCTGAAGCAAGTTGTATTCTCCCAGCTCAGCCAAGAAGTACTCTCAAGAGAAGAGCAGAGAAAGCACTTCAGGGATGTCCTTAAGGCCAACTTTAAAAAAATGCAACCTCAATATCAACTCTTGGGAGACTATTGCCCAGGACCACCCCAAATGGAAGAAGAGTATGCTGCAGGGAGCTTGGTACTTTGAAACCCTGCAACAACAACAGGAGATAGAAAAGCAGGAGCAGCAGAAACAGCATGTCATGGACCAAATCAAGAATCCAGTGGCACCCACCCCACACAGAAACACATCTGAGCTCTGGTAGAGTCTGTCTATCCCAGATAGACCTCAGCAGCCATCTTAGGACACACAGATAAGACAATCATGAAGACGGTCATCCTTGACTGCAAAAGATTGCCGAAGAAGACTTGGAAGGTCCCCTTGGTGGAAAAATAGATGCCTGCCTCCAGAATTAGACAAGCCATTTGATATGTGTTCAGATTTATGCACTGGATTTTTGTTCATTTCTGGTGCTTAGTGTGAATGCATATCTAGGACTAAGTCTAATTGAATATTCTGTCAGAGTGGTTAAAAATTGACTATGAGACTTTGTACTGTTCAATTCTGAGAGCTGATCTTCCCAGAATGGGGACAAGATGTTCGAGGGTTTCCATCTTTGAAATCTGCTGCCTTCCTCGGTTTCACTGTCCATGAAATGGGGGTAAAATTAAGAGCTGAGCAAACAAAGGCAATTCCATTTCAGAGAGGCAGACATTTTTAAAATCCTTTGCAAAAAGGGATTCCCAGCTTCAGGGCAGATCATGAAGTGAGCTCTTCTGGAACTACTTATTCTGGAAGCCCAGAGTCAATTAGGCAGTGCCAGGCAGGTTGTTAGAAGAGCCAGGTAGATTTATTGACAGAGAACAAGGTAGGTTTCCGTTGATAACTCACTTGGTTTCCAAGCAAACATCACTGTATTTGAACAGCCTCCATGGATTTTTTCACTATTGAAAAACTGATAAATTTTGACAGACAACTCCTTATCAGAATGTATCAGATTAAATCTCCAGCAGTAAACCTTACATGCCTCCTGCTCTGATTGGAAGAAGCATTAGCACTACTTAGAAGGTTTTATTGTCAATGTATTTTACAAACATTGACCAACATTTTCATATTTGGTGCCCTAGTGGGTTACGTCTATAAACAACAGCCTGATTTTTCAGAAGTTCGAAGCATCAAAAATTCACATTGAAGCAAATGGAAGTTTTGGGGTGGTGAGTGTGTTTTTGAAAAACAAGCCTCTTTTACACAGACGATTTAGTATAGTTTTAATGCCTAACTTCAGGCACTTTGGTGTTAAAAAATGTGGTTATTAAGTATAATAATAGTCAGCATTACAATAATTTGCCAGTAGGGAATCAATGGAGATTGTGTAGAAACACTGGGAGATTGGCATGTTAACCAGGAGACCATAATTCTGCAAACACTGTTTTGCTTATACCCATAGGGCTTGGGTTGTATAGGAAGGTATTAGGAATGTCTCTGCATGTTAACAGTTCACAAAGGCATCAAGGTGAGAAAGTGGTGAGTACCACCTTCAGAGAACACAACTGTGGGCGGAAAGTTCTTGCTGAAGATATGTTTGTTTCACTAGATTGCCACTGACAGTAGCA